TGCTGGACAAGATTTTCAGAGGGAACCATTTGCCATTGAAAAATGCTCATTTGGCAGAACCGAAACTTTCTGTGGGAAGCTGTCGATTCCGTCGGGATTTCTGAGGGAGGCAGACAAGCAGGTGGGCTGGACCTGCCCCCCACAGCCTCATCAGCCCGCCAAGCAGGGCTGTTGGGAGCCAGGACTCACACCGCGTCTCGGCTCCTTGGCTGTGGTCTGGCGAACTGCCAAGGAGCCGGGGGAGGTGGGACCGGAAATGTTCCAAAAATTCCATTTTGGTTCTTCTGAAACAGAATTTATTTTGGCAATTGCCCCCCTCCCCCCCATGGAAGACTTTTTTTCAGAAATGCAACATTTTCTCTGGGCAGGAAATGCCGGTTCCTGTGCATCTCCACCTCACTCACTCACTCACACACACACACAGAGGCATGTGCCCCACATGGACACACACAGCCAGACACAGGCATGTGCCCCACATGGACACACACAGCCAGATCCTGGTCCCATTCCTGCTGGCAAATGCTTTTAATAGCAACATCTGGGTGGCAAATCTCAGCCCTCATTGTAGGCCTACAAGGACTGACCGCTCCAAGTGTATCCAGGCCTGACCGCTAGCAGGTCCAGTGTGGTTTGCAGCCAAACGGGCAAAGACGTCTAAGGCCCCAGTGAGCGCTGCCCCACAGCCCCTTTGCACGGCTCCATTGTCACCAAGGGGCTGTGACGCTGGCTCAGCTTGGCAGATCCGATTCCCCACATGCTCACTTGCCACCCCCAGCTTAGGGGACATGGCTGGAGCACCTCTGTACTCAGGCTCTTCCTGTGGAGCGCCCCTTGAGGCCATAAGCAGGCAGGTGTAGGTTAGAGCTTCCCTGAGGTTGCTCTAATTTATGCCAGTGGTGGAATTGGCTCCCAGAAACCCCCAGAATCAGGGACCCACAAAGAGTCCCCCTGTCCTCCCGCAAGTGAAATGGCGTCTCAGAGGTGAACATGCTTGGGCCAGACCCAGGCTGGGGTCCCCCCGACCGAGCTGACGGCTCCGAGCTTGCTGAGTAAGTGCTGAATCCGATCTCTCCTTGCCACACTTCTGGACTGGTTTGTCCTTCAGAGGAGCTGTCCCTGGCACCTGGGGGACAGCCCGTCGCTCCCCCAGCGAGCGCTGCCTGGATTGTTCTCCTTCCCAGCTCCTGGGAGGAGAACCACTTTCGTTACCCATTGCGGGTCAGCTGGGTGCTGAGTCCCGGTGGCTGAGCTGCAAGCTCCAGCCAGGCAGCGCGTTCCTGGGGTTTTCGCTCAGTGCTGCCCGTTCAGACAGAGAACAATCCCCTTTTCCTGCGCTGGAAACGCCGCAGCAGCCACTGGACGAGGAAGGGCCAGGCGAGGAGGAACAGCAGGGTGCGAGCAGAGACCTCCAGCGGCCAGCGGGACGGCTTCTGCAGAGAGGAACAAGCACAGGGCAGTGGGGAGGGGTTAGCGACCCTGAGGGCTCCTGGGTGCTGTGCTGTTCACAGATGCTGGGCCCAGGGGCTCAGAGAGGGGCCCCTGCTGCTGCTGCACTTTGGTTCTCGGCTCTATTAGCGTCTCTAGCTCAGTAACCCTCAGACCCCCTCCCCAAGAGACAGCGTCACCATCTCCCTTTGGGAGAGCCTGAGACGCAGCGTTAGGGCCCAAGTTTTCGGCGTATTGTCACCGTAGTTGCTACCGAGCGTCTCACACGACTCCCTCCGGAGGGGGGCGCATGGGGGGGGAATCACCCCATCTCACAGAGGCAAACCATGGCAGACACTAAGGGCAGGACTGTAGTGTAGTGGTGATCACATTCACCTAACACGTGACATGTCACTGGTTTGAAACCGGGCAGAAACAGGTCACTGCTCCTTTTAGGGCGGGGAGGGATAGCTCAGTGGTTTGAGCACTGGCCTGCTAAACCCAGGGTTGTGAGTTCAATCCTTGAGGGGGCCATTTAGGGAACTGGGGTAAAAAACTGTCTGGGGATTGGTCCTGCTTTGAGCAGGGGGTTGGACTAGATGACCTCCTGAGGTCCCTTCCAACCCTGATATTCTATGAGTCTATGACTGAAGGCCCCTTGCTCATCCAGGGCTGTCACTCACTAGGAGGAAGGGGCCCAGCCAGGGCTCAGACCCCAACAGACACTCACCCCAGACCACACGTGGAGCCTGTGGCCAAGCGGGGAAGAGACGCCTGGTTTCCTGAGTCCCGGACCACTCCTTTGCAGCCCAGCTGGGGACCTGCCTTTAGACACCCGGGCCTCGTTTGCTGAAGTGGCCAGTGCCCTGGGCAGCAGCTGAATGCAGGAGAACCCCACTAGCCCCCGGGTCTGGGGTCAGCGCAGAGCATGGCTGGGCTGAACCTGCGGTGGCTTTGGGCGGACGAGGGTCTGGCTCCCAGACTCTGCTCTGCCAGCTGCTGGGGCTGGTCGACTCGCCACTCCAGGCTGCACAAGCCCAGTAGGCAGCTGCAGGCTAAGCCTAAGTGTCTCTCCCCACTTCTTCCTCCTGGAGTCCTTGTCCTTCTCCCGGCCCAGGGACAGCACCTCCCAGGCCCTTCCTCCCCTGGGGCAGCTCCCCAGGATCCGGCTGGAATCCAGCCGTGGCGAGGGGGGCCCAGCCGCACTGCACGTGTGACTGGGAGATGAAGGATCTGCCGGGAAACCGGGGCAGCAGCTCGCAGCTGGGCCTGCAGCGCAACGCGTCTTGGAGCACGGCCGTACCTGCGGGCCCAGCGGGTGGCGAGGGCCAGACCCAGACTCGTGCCCCTGAAAGACAGAAAGAGGCTCGGCTCAGCGCCACGTGGGCTGGCGGGTAACGGGGCTGGTGCGAGAGGCTGGGAAGCTGGGCCCAGTGATGGGAGCCCAGCCTCACCCATTTACTGCTATGTAGAAACACCACTGCCACGTTCACTGCACACACCCTCCATGGGCATAATGGCATCCGCCCCCCCCCAGCCTAGGGCAACGTCTCCTTGCTCTGCACCCCGGGGCTCCCACACCAGCACAGCGCCCTTCCACTGTCCCTTTGCCGACACCCCGCCCCGCGGGAAGGGACTTGCTGGGTCACCCCGTGAGTCAGCATCAGAGTGGCGCTAAACCCCCACCAGCAGCGCCATGCGCATCCTAGGCTCCATCCAGCCTAGCCCCGAGCCTCCCAGCCACTGGCCAGAGCAGAGCCCGGCTCTACCTGGAGCTCACCTTGCTGCTGTGAGGCCCTGCGGTCTGATAGCGACCATCTGCCCCCCGCCCCTGATTTTAACCAGGGGTGTGTGTGCGCATGGGGGTGTCTGGCCTGGAACGCCCCCTTGTGGCCTCGCCATGGTGAGGGGCACGTACCTGCGCGGTGCTCAGCGTTTCCAGGTGGCTCAGCCTCTTCAAGACGCTCCGCATGTTGTCCTGCAGGGCGCGGACGGTGCCAAGCAGCTGCACATCCAGCTCCGGCCGGAGCCCTGCGCTCGCTGCGTCCCCCTGGTCAGCATCAGGACAGCCCCTGGCTCCGCACGCTCCCGGGGCAGCCTGCAGCTCTGTGGGGCAGGAAGGACAGACAAGGATGCCAGAGGGATAGATCAGGGAGGACAAGGTGTCGGCCTAGACGGCTGCCCCAGAGTTTGTGATCTAGGGACGCTGTAGGCCCAGGCCAGTTACAGCCCAGGTGGGTGCGGCTCGGTGGTGCGAGGCTGGGGCTAACCCCTCAGGTACAAGCCTCTTCCCCCGGGGATTCTGGGGTGGCCGGGCAGTGACCTTCGGCTGGGAGGATGTGCTCTGCTGGAGCCCACTCAGATGGGGGACGGTGGCACAGCTCTGTCCAATCCCCAGCCCATCACTTCTCCAAAGCACTCATGGTTCTGCTATTGGGGCCAGAGCACCCTGCCCCCCGGCAGACTGGCGAGACTCCCGGGCTGGGGGAAGCAGATGTTCCCCCGGGCAGGAGAAGCATCAGGAAGGGCTGGGTAAGCACCACCTCAGCGCTAACTCCAGCAGGGGGCAGCACATGGCAGGAGCCATCCGACGCGTTAGTGAGTGCAACTGGCCGCCGGCTATGAGCAAAGTACGCCAGGGACCCAGGTGCCTCGACTCATTGGCACGTTGCTTGCTCCCAGCATCCGGGCCATTGGTGCTGGATGGCCTGCTGCCCGCTCCACCGGGGTGCTGCCCTGCAGAGCTCACCCTGGTGGGTCACGGTGGGCGTCAGCCCAAGCCTACAGAGAGGCATCCTGGTGGCCTGCATGACACAAACGGGTGGGTCTCCAGGCGGTGAAGTCAGCTGGGTACTGGGGGGGTCTCAGTCCATGGGGCCAGGTGTCTGTACCACAACCACCAAGCGGCCCCTTGTGGCAGTCTGGCTGGGGAACAAGCTCGCCCCCGGGCTGTTCCCTGGGGTGGCAGGCGGCTGCAGGGGAGGGGATGGCCCTGCCTCTGTGGGGAAACCCAAGACATCAGGCCCCTGGAGAGCTGGAAGGCTGGGCCCGCTACAACCAAGCCCTGTGCTCAGCGCACGAACTCAGGGCCTGTCTGACGGCAAACGCTGCAAACAGGCCACCCCTCCCAAGCTGAGCCAGCCCAGCAATGCGGGCTCAGGGCGGGCTCAGCCAAGCATGGACCCAGAGCCCCAGGACTCACGTCTTCAGAAGGGCTCAGCTCCCCTTCAGGTGCCCAAACAAACTGGCCAGGGCGTCAGCAGAGCCCGAGACAATAGAGCATTTCCCCCCCGCCCCGGAGAGCAATGGGAGCGGGTCGGTGCTTTGCTGTGTGTGAACAGGCGGGCAATGCTCATCCGGAGTCAGCGACACATCTCTTGCTGCGCGGACCCCAAGCTAAACTGCCGGCCGCCCAGGCCCCTCACCCTGCTCCCAGCCAGGCCCAGGCCCAGCGTCTCAGGTCTAGGGGAGAAGAGCAGAGATCTGGCTCGGCAGCCTGGCCGATACCTGAACCCACCGTCCTGCAATCCCCGAGGAGAGGCAGCTGCACTGAGCCAACCGCCCCCGTCTGACCGAGCGCTGGCACGGAGCCCCCAGCGCCGGCACGGAGCCCCCAGCGCCATGACCTAGTGTCGCTGTCTAGGCCCCAGGGTGTGCTGTGGGTGCGGGTGGGGTGTGCCTCCAATGGACACTGCTAGCTCGAGGCACTGCGTGGCTGTAACGAGGCACAGAGAGATCACGTGGCTCGCCCGAGGTCACCCGGTGAGTCTGAGAACCCAGGAGTCCTGACTCCCAGCCCTGTGGTCTGTCCTGCTCCTCAGGTTGCACTGTATCCCTCCGTGCTGCAGGCCCCCCAGGCCCGGAGCACTGGGGTGGGATGTAGAGAGGGCTTTGCAAAGAGCACAGACCAGCGCCCCTGGTTCCGGCTGGCAGCCCCGGGCCCTACCAGCTAACGCAAACTGGAGCCGCACCTCGGAGCAGAGAGCAGCTCCTGCCACGGAGGCACCGGGCTGGGAAAGGAGCAGGCCAAGCCCAGGGGCTGCTCTGCACCCACTCAGCCCCAGGGTGGCCTTATGCCGAGAGCTGTTACAAATTAACCTGTCAAGGCCAAGCAGTCTGGGATGGGGCTGACGGAACGTGAACGGAGGAGATAAGCTGGATTCTGCTTCGAGAGGGCAGGATGCCAGCGCCCGCCTTCCACGTCTGCGGCACGGCGCTGGCAGGGACTCGCCCCCTCTAGAGGCGAGTGGGGCAGACGCGTGACAAAGCACAGACGGGATCGCACGTGGCCTTGCCGTGGGGCGTCGCCTTCCTCCTCAGCCCGGTGCTGGGCTGCTTTACCCAGCCCTCGCTGGAGGGGGGGCTCTGGGGGCACATGAGCAGCGAGGGTATGTAGCCATGGGAACAGCGCCCCAAGGGAGGCGGAGGATTCTCCCTGTCAGGACTGGACGGGGAACCCCTGGGGAACCTCAGGCTTGTGCCATGGGGCACCCTGGAGCCTGGGGGGCTTGTTGAGAGAGGACGGATTTGTCCACATGTCCATGGCCAACATCGGCCCATTCCCACCGCTGAGCCCAGGCTGTCCCCTGCCGCCCCGAGGAGCTGCGCCTTGGGGGTGCTTGGGGCGCGTCAGGCTGAGCGGCGAGGGGAGGGGAAGAAGGGTCCTGTGGGGAGGGCACATGGTTGTGTGCCAGCAGCCTGGGCACAAGTTCTCTTCTCCGTGCCTCAGTTTCCCCTGTGTAAGAGGGATGATGACACTGACCCAGCTCACAGAGGCGCTGCCAGCCGTAACCCATTAATGTCCAAGAGTGCTGGGCGGGTGCAGTAATTACGACATGGCATTGCCTGCATGCAGATGGCCCTGGCCACTTGAGCTGCCCTGAACCAGACACCTCCTGCGGGGCTGGGCGGCCAGAAGACAAAGGCAGCAGCTTCCCGCACTCAATGTGCTCAGAAGAGACCTGCCAAGACGCTCCTCAGGAACCGTTCCTCAGCGAGGAGAGTCACAGCCCACGGGCCCAGTCTGAGTCCTGGGCGCAGCTCACACACAGCCGGCCACCTGCCCGACAGGCCTCCTGAGAGCACTTGGAATATGTGCCCGGGCTCCCGTTGCACATGCTGCCCCACTGCCTGGGGGGTGCAAACCCCGAACTGCGTGTGCAGAGGGCAGAGGCATCAGACCTGCCCAGCTGGGCTGGTCATGTGACAGCGGCCTCCCGAAACGTGACCCACAGAGCGCAGTGGGAATCACGCTCGTGGGCTGAGTCTAGTCAGGGCCTGCCTGAGGGGCAGCCACAAGCCAAATGCCTCGGGAAGAGGCGGCTGGGCACAGCCAGGGCACAGGCACTAGCCCCAGCTCTCAGGGAAGCAGGGGGGTACTCAGCGCCTCGTGGGATCGGGCCATTAAAGAGACTGAACTGGGCCAGCATGTGCCTGAGCCCTGCCCTGGCAGGACCTCCCGGGGAGGTGGGGGGCTTTGGTCTCCGTGGCCCATTTGGTCCCTGGTGGCTCTGCCCACACGGCGTCAGCATGTGCGACACACCCCATCCCTCAGACCCACCAACTCTTCAGCAGAGGACACGGTGCAGCCAGGGCTGGGCTGGATTCGACCTGGCGACCGGCTCTCTAGCTCCTCACCAACTGCCTGGCTCAGCTGCTCCCAGGGGGCTGGGACAATGTGCACAGTTTGGGGGGGCTGAGAGTCATTGAACCAAACTGTAAACCCTGCATATGGTGGAAACCACGTCAGGCCAGAGGGTGCAGCAGCCCCCCCCGTTCCAGCACCTGTGGCTGTTCCCCTCCTGCAGACCCAGCAGTCACCTGGCAGGTGCTCAGCCCAAGGGCTCCTTGGCCCCAGCATCTGCTTCCCTGACTCAGCGACTTTCCCTTCCCTGCTGCGTATCAGCACAGCCAGAGCTCACCGCCCCCCCCCCCCGCCCCCCCCCCCCGCCCGGCGCCCCACTACCACCAAACCCAGAGACAGGCCTGCACGCCCCACCCCACCTCCACCCAGCTCCCAGGCCTCAGGCCCCACCCTGCACCCCACTACCAGCAAACCCAGAGACAGGCCTGCACGCCCCACCCCACCTCCACCCAGCTCCCAGGCCTCAGGCCCCACCCAGGACCCCACTACCAGCAAACCCAGAGACAGGCCTGGCCCCACCTCCACCTAGCTCTGAGGCCCCTGGCTCTGCCCCACCCCACCCAGCACAGGGCTGGTGCCACACCCACCTCTCTCTGTGCTGAGGGGCCTGGAGTCATCGCTGCTCCGCCCGACTAGTCCTCCGCCTTCGCCCAGCTCTCCCTCCCCGCAGCTTTCCGGTGCTCGGGCCAGGGACTCACGCCCAACATCGGCTCGCAGGCTGGCTGTGTGAGGACTGCTTAGGGAAAGGCTCTGCCCGGCCACGCGCTGACCAGCCTGCGTGAGGGGAAAGGGCAGCAAGAGTTGCAGTGAGACCCACGAGTGCCAGGGGAACGCAGCATCCAGCCTGTAGGGTGCAGGGAGAGGCCAGCTAGGGAATCAGGGCTTGGTTCCATGTCCAGACCCGCTGCATGACCTGGGATGAGCCGCTCCCCTGCTCTGTGCCCCTTCCCCACATCACACACAGCAGCCACCTGCAAATAACAATTTGCCTTTCTGCCACCCTGCAAATGAGGGTCTCCAAGGGCTTTGATTAAACCTGGCAGGAGACAGGTGTCATCACCTGCATTTCACAGACAAAAGATGTGACTCAGCCACTGCAGCAAAGCTAGGAACAGATCCAGGGGTACCAGCCCAGGCTTCCACCCACTAAACACAAGACTTTCACTGGCATTTTATACCCCCAAAGGACCACTAATCCTACACAGAACATCTCACAGCGGGATAGCCTGGGCTATACCTGACAGTCTGTGAGCTCCCCGCCCCAGCCCTGGGGTAACCCCAGAATTATCCTGCTGCCCGAGGACTGGCCTAGAAGCAACCAGCAAAAGCCTGAGCAAACACGGCATGGGGTGCAGTGGGTCCCTTGGCCAATCCGCAGCACAGAGAACCACCCATGAACACCTGGGGTGAGAGACACTGAGTTTGGATTTGCATAATTCCCACAGCCACGCCTCCTCCTAATACAACTAACTGAAACCAGACCAAGCTCCACCCACGGAGCCATTCCCCTCCTCTCTCCATGGAGCCAGCAGTGGCAGCTCCGGGGGGTCCGAGACCAATACTGATGAAGGAGCTTCCACTAGTTGCTGTTGGTGGGAGCACATGGGCTGGGACTCTCCTCCCACTGCCTCCAAGCACGGTGCAGGGCCCCGAGGGGTCCTTCCCTCCCTGATCCCACACACGTGACGGGAGCGGGGGGCTCATGCTCTGCAGCGAGCGAGGCCCCCGCCCGGTGCACACGGAGGGGAGCACAGCTGCGATCAGGGCTCTGACCGAGCAGCTCGGCGTCTCCTCGGGTTGGGAGGTTCAGCATTGCGCAGGATTCCCTGGGGACGGCCGGAGAACAGGGTTCCAGTGCAGGTGCCCAGAGGCCAGCAAGGGATACTGGGTTCACCAGGCAGGGGTAGGGGCCCGAAGGGAAGTCAGACCCCTGCTGAGCAGAGGCAGGTTAGGACAGGGTGCTGCAGACCCAGGCCTGGCACAGGAAATCGGGGCACCGTGCTCAGTGGAGTGGGGGAATGGCTGTGCGGAAGGAGGGACGAGCTCTTGGCACAGGACCATGAAGGTGTCTGGACCCAGGCCCCACGTCGGCTCGCTCCATGAGCGGCGTTACCTGACCAGGCTCTATCTGCTCCAGGGTGTCGCTGTAGACTTCACTTTCCGAGTCACTGGTCACTTGGCTGCTCTCAAGGGCTTCGTCAGCCCGGCCCGGCCCGCCGCCTGGAACGGGAGACGCACGGCTCAGCGGGGTGGGGGAATGCCCACGGCTCGGGTGGGGGGACATGGGTGGCTTGGCGGGGGGACACACATGGCTCTGGGGGGGACGTGGGCGGCTCAGCAGGGGTGGGGGACACATATGGCTCGGGGGGGACACATGTGGCTCGGGGGGACGCAGGCAGCTCGGGGGGACATGGGCAGCTCGGCAGGGGTGGGGGGACACACTCTCTGGCCGGGCACCAGGAGAGCAGGGGGCTCATCGCAGCAGTACAGGATGTTGAGCAGAAGGATTTTCAGTCTAATCAGTGTCCTTTGTGACCCAGAGCCACAGGCTGGGGCAGTCACTGGAAGGCCAAAGAGCCATGCGCAGGAAGCAAAGCCCAGCAGGTGCACCTGGGAGGTTTGATCCTTCCCCGAGTGCCGCTCATCTGGGATCTCACCGCTCCTGGCTCACACAAAGCCCTGGAGCTCACCTCATTGCACATCACATCACTCTCACTGTACAGATGGGGAACTGGGAGGAGAAGGGATGTGCCCAAGGCCATGGAGTCAGTAGCAGAGCCAGGAGTCCAGGCTCTCAATTATGGCCCTGCTGTGCCCACTACATAACACTCTCCCCAGGACACAGCGCAGGGCCCTGGCCACCTCAGACACTAATGAGGAGGACAAATGACAAGACTGCCATGGCCCCCGACATGGCACTCTGGTGGGGGTGAGACCTCCTGTGAAGCTTCCTGGATGGGAGAAAGCGCCACTGAATGTGACTCGCAGCCAAGAGAAGCCCCACGTCCTGGGAATTACAAGAGCCACACACGGCCCACATGCCCCACCACGGACTAACCACACGCCGGAATCCTGCAGCCAAAACAATCATCCCGGCCGAGAATGCAGCCAGCCACCACCCGACCCCTGCC